TTTATAAAATGTTATATTATTAAATTAAAAATAAATTATTTGTTATTAAATTATAATAAAAAATTAAATTAAAGAAGTTACATCAAAAAGTGAAAACTATTAAATAGTTAATTTGATAATAATATCGATTTATTTTTTTCAAATCTATATTTCATTCAAAAATAAAAATATTATCATTTCTCAAAACCACATAAAATTCTATTATGTCGATAGAGACAAAGAATAAAAACTAAACATGAAAATTAAGATTTATTTTGCTGCATTGCACGAGTACCCTTCTAGTATATGTCTAAATAAGGCGTTTAATAATTATATTAAATTTAATAATTAGAATTACATTAGATTTATCGGGCTGAATTGAGTTGAGATAATTCTAACCTAATTTTAATCCAAATACATACGGTTTGAAGTAAGGACGGGCCCAAGGTGTTTTTATTGTGTCCCGTGCCACAATTTCGTTCATCCGTCGTAGTATAAAAAATTATAGTCATGAAAAGTGTCATCATATCAATTTGTTGCGTGTCACCATATATATTTTGAAACCACGACGAAAACACAAGTTTCTCTTCTTAGAGTTGGTTTGCAAAACTTTTCTTCCACCTTAGGCACAAGTTCAAAATCATTACTGTTATTTTTTTAGTTCTTAACTTTTAATTTCATATTTATTGTTTTTTCGGGAAAAAAAAAGCTACGATAAAAATGTTGAACACAACATCTCACATATGAAAATCAATAAACAGACTAACAAAGCAACAATGATTTTGTGAAATGCATTCTTATATTTGCTTCTTTGTAATCAAATAGTGCTAGCGCTTAAAAAATTCATTGGATTTTGGATTTGGTTGGTCAAGTTTCTGTACATTCATATACGTCTGTACGTTAAAAAATAATAAAGAAATCAAACAATTTAAGTATATTTAGGGGGTGTTTAGTTTGAAGTATTAAGTAATAATCAATAAAAATGATAATAAAAACACTGTTTAATTTTCTATAATATAATGGATTCATTGTTTTAGGGGGTGTTTGAGACTGCTTATTTAAAACAACTTATGGTTTTTTTGTAAAAATGCTTATTAACTTATGTGGTATCAAATCGGAGTTTTGTAAAAAGTGTTTGGATTAACTTATAGCGTTACCAAAAAACAATAAGCTGATAAGTTATTTTTTAGTGTTTGACAAATTTTACTTATATATGTAAAATGACTAAAAAAGACAGTCTTCCATATTATTGACTTATTTGATTTTTTAAAATGTAAAATTTTATTTTTCATTATTTATAATAATATCTTTGACTAAAATTTATATCAATAAAATTAATAATTAAAAAACATGGTTAAAATGATAAAGTGGTAATAAACAGTTTTTCATAAGTTAAGAAGAATTAATTTATCAAAAACTGCTTATTATCAATTTAGCAGAGATATAAGCAATTTTATTTTTTCTCATCCAAACACTAATATTTAACTTTTCAAACTAAAATAAATTAAAAAACACATAAAATAAACCATCCCAAACAACCTCTAAAATTTCATTCATCTGAGAATAAATGGAATCGAATGAAGTTATTAAACATAATCATTATTTTATTTTTCAATTTAAGCCGAATATAACCACCAAAATACACAGATTATTCTAATGGGTAATCTGTAAAATTAGGGCAAACTGATTTGTTCGATTGCTCGTCTTCCAATCGAATCAGAATCTCTAGCTTAAAACTATCATAAGCTCCTAACAATTCTGTTTCTTTTGAGATCGGTAAGGTATTGGAGTACTTGTTCTGATTCGTGAAATTGATTTTTTGTTGGAATTACTCGTGCGATTTCATTGGTGAAGTTTGAATTTGAAGAAATTTAAATCTTACCAACTTAGAAATTTGACCTATATTCTGAATTGAGATAATTATGCATCATCTTTAATTTCTCTGCAGGATTACAGAGGCATTTTGAGATCGAACTTTATAGAGGGAGGAGTGCAAGATAATGCAGACCCTTGGTGATCATAAGTTGCCCCACTTCTTTAATTATCCGCCCTACTTCACGTAATGGCTTACTTTTCTTGCAAACTACATGGTCATGTATTCTTAGATTCACTTTTTGATCGTTTATATCTAGAATTAAATCGCCTACAAGGCCTGATTGTGTTTCAGGTTTCCTCTTTTTAGTTTTTGATGAAAAATTATGTGCCTATTGAAGGTAGAAGTAGTTGAAGATCTTTCGGATGATTATGGAAGTGAAATCCCAAATGGAAATTTGAAAAAACTACATTATAACTGATAAAATAACTACTTCATGTTCTATTGTGTTCCTAAATGAGAATTCTGTGCTTCATCTTCACACATTTTATGGCTGTATGGCATTTTGGTAGGGAATAATCTATGCAGCATTATCATTTTGAGCTGAGAGGCTGTTATCTTCTCTAAATGAGTAACCTCGGAATCTCGAATAATAATGAAACAACTTCCTACTACTCTTAGGTTTCATTTTTGACATTAGTCCCATTGCACATAAGATATTAAGATGAGAGCAAAGTCTACGTTTTCAAGAATCTCACTTTGAATGGTTATCTTACGAACTCTGATGCTATTGTTGCTTTGGGGTGCATATAAACTTATCTGTGGAGAGTGTTGTTGGTCCTCATTAATATCTCAAAACGTTTGATAGTTGCGGGTTTCCTTTTACTTTTGTGTGTAAAGCTCCAAACTCACCTTAGTGAGATGTCGACTCCACAAAGGAAAATTGCCTATCACATTTAGTTAAGTTTTTTGCTTATAAGATCCAGAAAACCATATATGCTGCAAATGAAGTTGTGAGAGCATTCCTAACAGCTATACTATAATCAATAGAATATGAAAAGTCAAAATAAAAAAAATTACATCCAACTCCAACACCTACTCAGTTTTAGCAATTCTAGGGATTAACTATATTAATAAAATATTCCATAAAATATTATTTCTCTCTTCTACCACTTAGAGCATCTCCAATGGAGTGTCATGGGGAGGTTAATGGGGGAACCATGACATGCATCATGCATTGTGAAGGGAGTGTCATGGGAGGTTAATGGGGAAGAGATTAATGGCCATTGTACGCATCATGGGGAGGAAGATGGGACCCACTAATTTATTTTTTCTTTTATAATTAAATTTGTAAGGATTTAATTATGATATTATATATATATATATATATATATATATATACACTATAATATGATATTTATTAATCAATAAATTAATTTTTATTTTTATTTTTCTTAATTTATAAAAACAACATAATTAATAAAACATTACATTAATTTCAAAATACATTACATTAATAAGATATTACATTAATTTTAAAATACATTACATAAACTACATTTAGTTTTAAACTATATATATATGATGTGGAAATCCATTAAACTCATTGGAGTATTATGGAGTGTGGGTATAAAATGATAGAGTTGTATGGTGAGTGGAATGCTGATGTGGCAGTCCATGACACTCTGGTAGAGTGTCATGCAGTGGAGATGCCCTTAACTTCAATGACTTTAATTGGTTGGATATAATTAAAACATTATTTCTCTCTTCTATAGAGTTTTACGAGATATTCTCCAAATTTAAATATTTTTGCAATCTCTATCCTCTTTTTCTCTATTTTAGCATAGAGGATAGCACATTTGTAGGAGCAACAAAAATGCTAAAATCCCACTCTTTTCTCCATTTTAGCATAGTTGTTGGAGAAGCTCTGAACTAAAGTGGAGTCAACTGTTGCTTGAATGGACTGGGATGGTACCAACACTAATGTGCCGTATTCCATCAAATACTATGTGTGTTTGGGAGAAAGTAGTACCAGGATGCATGATTCTTGGGAAGTCCTTAGACGGTTTGGAAAATAAGTCTTTTAAATTAGTAATTTATCTGCATTTTCATATCAAAAGCGCTATTCCTTGGTTTTTTCCCCTTAAGACGTGAGTTAGTCTCTGTTTGGGATCGATTTTGTATTTACAGTGCATCTTTCATCAGGTTGCAGCCTGTGAGAGAAACCCGAGAGAAGCAAATACAACTCTGGAAAGAACTTATTCTTGATTATTGTCGGACGCAAAAGAAATTTGTAATTAACGTGGAAGAAGACTTTCCTCTGTTCTCCAACCCTGCAATAGAAAGTAAGCACTCGCTTCTTCCAGTTGTCTGAATAATCCTGGGGAATGTATTTGACTTACATGCCAAGCATATCGTTTTTTCTATTTTCTATGTACATTTCCGTAATCTATTCAAAATGACACGTTCTTGCAAGCCATAAATTCTTTTTTCCTTTTGCAAGGATGATAGTCAGTTCGCAACGAAAGATCATGTATGATGATTCAAAAAGTCAGTAACTCCTATGCATTTGACTAAAGATGAAGTTGCACGATAATTACTATTACTTCTTTTTTGTCAGCTTGATACTTGGTTTTCAGTGGTAGGATTGTTTTAGGCAATGCCTTTGATACCACATCTTAAGCTTATCCCTGTATAAGATGATAAAACTTTTGCTTAGCAGCTCGATTATCTTATTTAAAATGTCCGTGGAGAGTAGCCTTAGGTTGGTTTTGTAGTTAAAATCATCCTTTCAACAACACATGAAGCACCGGTTCTACAAACCTTACCAAATCCCTGCTTATTGTTTCTTGCATCCCTTGAGTCGTCAAACATCAATAACAATAGATTTCTATATAAGACTGCACTTAATCTCATACATTGCTAGAATCCTCTAGTTCTATTGTGCCTGGTTTTTATTCATGGTTTTCTTTTTACTTGCATTTGTTTTTCAAGCCCTTCTGCTATATCCTTTTTGGGTATTTCTCTTTCCCAGTTTTCTTATTCTTTTTCTTGTTTGTGAATTATATAACTAGTTGTCAGGATGCCTTGTGTAGTTGTGGTTGCCCTTTACTTTATCTTCTGAACAACCATCGACGATCACCTTAAATACCAAGAAAAAACCATTACCACTATTCATTGAATGGACAATAGTTTTCCATGTTTTAGTCTTAAGAAGAAAACTTTATGTGCCATGGCTGTCAGTTGACACTTTGAAACTTGAATGATTAGAGAGAATTAGTAAGTCACAGGTGGGATTTTTAATGATTTAATCATCAACTGTGTTTTTACAAGGTTAGTTCTATGATTGTTCTTCAGTTCTTATGGTCTGCTTATTGCTGAATCACTTTCAATGCGATGGTGCAGGATCTCTGAATCATGAAGCAAGAGTAGCCTTCCTGTCAGCTTTAGTCCTGGATGGTTTGATTTCCCTCATCACTTTTGCTCCTATTTGCAAAAAAACGTTATATATTTGGTCTTTGATTACATTCCGCTAAGATTCTTATTGTATAATTCATGAATCGGGGACAATGACTTTAGATAGGAAAAAGAAAAGAGAAGACTTTGACATACTGTTCTAACTGTTTGGAATGACCATTTTTCTAAAAAATAGTAGATCTACGTTATCAGGCTCTATATATCCATAATTTTTTCCTATTGTTAGATTTGTGAATTGGTTGAGATTTTGATCAACAGGACGTGCAGAATGGATGGACAAGAGTCATAGGCAATGTCTTATCCTCTGGCATCGAATAAAAGATTGGGCAGACATTATATTACGCTTTGTGAGTAACAAAGCAACCCTGCTACGAATTACATTTGTCACAGTGTAGCCATTGTGTTACTAACGACTGTTGGCTTACATCTTGGTTAGGTCAAGGAGAATGGCTTAGAGGAGAGTGTAATGACAGTGGAGGAAATACGTTCAGGGATTGAATCTCGTGGAACAGGTAAATCCTGACCATATATTTCTAGATAAAGAATCTAATGAATCAAATCAATAATGCTTCTCAAAGATCAGAGATCATGTTGGCGATTTCATTTGTGTGTTTCTGGGTATTTTCTTTTTTGCAATTTCGGTTTCTTCAACGGGAAGCTTCAATAACTCTATTTTGATGTCTTAGAAATCCATGGAATGGACCGAACAGTTCTAATGAGAGCACTTAAACTTCTGGAAAACAAGGGAAAGCTTGCAATCTTCAAGGGAAGTTCAACAGACGATGAAGGAGTAAAATTTTCTGTCTAATAAAATATTGATATGATTTATAGTTGCATAGAGGATTCTATTTGTTTTGTTGGTAGAACACAAACTCAGAAGATGCCATTTGCAAGTGTTTAGAGGTGTTGAAAATAAGCAGTCTTTTTGTTCAGACGGTTCGAATTGGTCTGAAGCATTTGATATGCAGATGACACTAAAAATTGCACTTATTTTAGGGTGATTATTATTTTGGAATGAAAATGTACTTTTAAAACCGTTATTTAGATGCCTAAGATGTAATATCTTAAACATTTAGGTATTTGGATAACCGGTTGAACCATTAATCAGCTACACATGACAAATGATATGACTTACAACTTAATTTTATTTGGACATGAATATTAAATTAGTTTTAAAAACTATATTAGAATTTTTGTACTTTTAATTTATTTATTAATTATTATACAAGTGCTTAAAGCATTTGCTGTAGATTATTAATGTTATTCCACTGAATAGTAAAAATTTAAATGCTAAAATTTAACATTATTATACTTAGAGTACATCATTACATCATGCCCTCGTTAAGAGTGCTCATGGGTTGGATTGATCGGGTTGAAAACATTTGAATTATTAACAGCTCAACCTAATGTTTACAGTTTGAACAACCCAACTCAATCTTTGCGGTTTGAAATACTCGACCCAACCCACAAACGAAAGTGCAACCATACGGGTTGGTTAGGCTGATACTTTGATACATTTAAATATTCTCCTAAACTTAAATATGTTGTTTTCTCTGCTTATAATCTTTTTTCATTATTAATCATTTGGTACAACTTTTGATTTTCATACTCTTTGGATCTTAAGTATATTATATTTAACTACTTTTCTCAAAACATATATACGTTCACATTTACTATTCATGTAAGAGTTAAATAGAGATGTAGAAAAGATTGAAAATATATGTATACGAAGAGAGTGCATGATGATGTAATTGTTTAATGTACATATTAACAGAGATTTAACAATCATATTAAATCCAACAAATAAAAGAATATCGAGTGCATCAGGTTGGGTCGTATTCAAATGACCTTAACCCAATTCCAACTTAATACCTGTTGTTTGAAGATTTTACAACTCAATTAGATATGGGGTTACTTCACGTTGAATTATTTCTCTTTGGATTAGGTTGGTCGGGTTGAGCAGGTTTTTGAGCACCCGTAGCCCTAGCTATGGCGGAATCCTAAATCTTACCTTGGTCCCAATTGGACAATGTCCGCAAAAATCGAATCCGTACAACCATCGTCAACTGTGTTGATATTTGTTGCATGCCTCTTGTGAGTCGTGATTGAAAGAAGAGATGGATGAGAAAGAAAAAAAAGATTAGGTTTTATGTTGAGGTTGAAAAATATTAAGAAAATGTGAAAAATATTAAATAGTAAGGGGACAGTTGTTGAATAGTTTTATGCATAATGATTAAATGGTCAGAATAATTAAAAGGCTTTTATAATATAGTACAAAATGAAATATAATTATTTGGTAATTATTCATAATGAAATTAGGGTGCTGAATGGTTAAAGGAAATCCAAGATACAAAATCAAACAAAATTTACCTCTTAACGATTCAGATAAAGTCTCTTAATTGTTAATATATAATATTTAACATTCTTTATTTTGCTTTTGTGAGAATATAATAATAATATTCAAAGCAATCATCTTTAGTCACATTCCTATTGCCGTAACCACTTTTAGCATATATCTTCAATCATATTCCATCTGCATAAATTCTACTCTTTGCTGCATGCATAACACAAAAAAAGCTGAAAAAATATACAAACGTCCCAATTAAGAATCTATTGCAAAATCACATAATAATTAGCTGGAAAATTGACCAAAATAGTAAATCAATAAATAGGGTTTCACTTTTTAACCATTTTTTTATTCAAATTCATTTTTTTGACCAATTTTTATGCAGAAGGCTTACACTTCATAAATCATTACACATATGCCTAATGTTTCTACGTAATGATTCCACTTTTTACTTAAAGTTTTTCTTTTTTTTTTGGTTGAAAACCAATCCTTATGTATATGCATAAGCCTTCATCATAAGGATTGGATAAAAAGTGAAACCACCTATCAAATTTAGCTATTTATGTAAATTTTTGTACTTAGTTGCAGCAAATGAAACATTACAGTTCATGAAAATGAACGATTTTAGATAAAAGGTGATAATATTTAGAGAAATTGTCAAAAATACCCATTTGGAATTGGGTTAAATAAATGAAATAACAACCTACTTTCATAAAAAAAATTATTATAGTATTGTGTTTTTTTTCTTCTTATAACAACAATGTACTTTCAAATTATTTTTTTTAGGGCATCATACTCTAAAAAATCTACATATTATAGCAATGGGTAACCTTTTGTCTTTTAAATCGGTTAACCCCTTACATTTTTTTTTGAAAACTTGGTTTAAATAAGATGATGTGGATGACACATCATTTTGATGACACGACCAAATTAAAAAAAAAACTCTAATAAATTATTTTTGATGGTTTTCACTATTCTTTGCGACAATTTAAAAGAAAATCAATTTTTTTAATTTTTTCTTTTTAAATTAAATGCAAATTAAATATTTTAGAATAAAATATTTTAAAAATAAATATGATATACTGTTTTTGAGATAACTATTTTATTTGTAGAAAAAAAAAGTAAAATTTCTTA